CCAATACTTTGGGAGGCTGAGATGAGAGGACTGCGTGAGCCCAGGGGTTCGAGACCAGCCTGGGCAACTTGGTGAGACCTCATTTCTACAATAAATCAAAAGGTTAGCCAGGTGTGGTGGTACACGCCTGTAGTTCCAGCTACTTGGAAGGCTGAGATGGAAGCATCACCTGAGCCCAGCAGGGGATAAAGTGCCCCACCAGACCCCTCGAGCAAATACGCCCTCCTGGGCATGGGCGCAGGGTCACCTTGGGCTGCAGTGCTGGCAGATCTCACCCTCAGTGCCAGGGCAGAGCCTGGAAGGGTCTCAGTGAGGCCTAAGCAGTTTCAGGCGGTGGGACCAGATGGCCCTGCCGGGCTCTTGCAGCCTGTGTCCAGCCAGCTGAGCCCAACCTGGGAGACCCTGCAGCCCTGGGCATCCTGGTGCGGCCTTCCCCTGGAGGAGACAGAGGCTCCCTGCAGGACACTGCAGCCTGGGCAACAGATGGAGACTCCAACTCAAAACAAAAAGAGACAGGGTCTTGCTCTGTTGCCCAGGCTGGAGTGCAATCATAGCTCACGGAAACCTCGAACTCCTGGGCTTAAGTGATCCTCCCTCTTCAGCCTCCTGACAGCTAGAACTACGGATACATACCATCATGCCCAGCTTCTTTAAAAGTATTATTATATTGTGTGGAGAGGGAGTCTCGTAATGTTGTTCAGGCTGGTCTCAAATACCTGGCCTCAAGCAGTCCTTCTGCCTCAACCTCCCAAAGCATCAGGGTTACAGGCATGAGCCACCATGCCTGGTCAACTTTTTAAAAGACTCTGGCCGCCGCTCTGTGACTAGATGGCATATGGGAGAGGGAGGCCAGTAAGGAGGTCGATGCCATCACCTCCATGAGAGGTGGCTGGGACTTGGACCAGGAGGTGGCCGTGGAGAAAAAGGCCTGGATTCTGGAAATATTTTGGAGGTGGAGCCAAGAACGTGACTTAGGACAGATTCAGTGTCAAGAGTGAAAGCCAAGAGTGAGACTGCCTTCCGGGGTTTGGTCTGAGTTGCTGAAGCAGCCTGGCTGCTCCAGAGAGCTGGGTCAGGCCAGCAGTCTGGGCTCCTCCCAGCCCTGAGGACGCACCTCCAGGGGCTGGACACCAGGGGGTCATGCCTGGGGGGTGCGGGCCTGGGGGGAGCAGGGGTCAGGCTTTCATCCGGGCCCGTTACGGTTGAAACGCCGGGAGACCCATTGGAAGACGAAGCGTTCAGGGAGAGGCATGCACTGGAGATACACACAGGAGCCATCAGCTTGTCAGTGGCAGGCCAGGGGGCCGGAGCGGAAGAGCAGAAAGAGGGGAGCGCCCGAGGATGCCCCAGTGCAGGGGCCGGCCAAGGACACGGGGAAGCAGTGGCCGGCGGGGGGAGGCCTAGGAGGGCCAGCAACCTGGAAACAGCTGCTGACGCGGCGGCTGAGTTGGGCGTGGCGAAACCCGGCGGTGGCAATGCGCAGAGGTGGTCGGGGATCGGGGGACCTTGGCGGGGCGTCGGCGTGGAGGCGTCCTGGTCTAGTGGGAAGGGCAAAGGGAGCCAGAGGAGAGGAACGGGGCACCCCAGAATCTACACCTTCTTCCAGGAGTTTCTCTGGCAGGGGTGGTGGCGTCGAGAGAAGGGTGTGTGTGCACGCACGCCGGCTAGGAGGATGCCGTGCTCGTGGAAAGAAGTGAGAGATGGTGCTGCGGGCGAGGGTGGCGCTGTGCTGGGGACACCCTGGCGTACGCTCGAGGGACTGGCACCTGCCGGGGGGGGCTCGGCGGTCACCTCTGGCTACCTGTGGGGACATACAGGTGCAGAGGTGGGGGGCTTGCGAACAGCTCGGCCCCGTCAGTGCCCGCCAGGCAGACAGCCCATGTGCACTGAGCACTGCCCCCGCTCCTACCTGGCCCGCAGGTGTGATAAGACAGGGCCCACGCCTTCAGGACAACCGAGGGCCTGACACCCCCAGGCCCCCCAGGCCTGGCCATCTCACCCAGTCGCAGGGTGCAGCCTCCTGAAGTCTTGACCTTGATACTGCTTGGATGTCTTTGTCCCCTCTGTGAAGGCCTCCTCTTGGAAGCCTTTCCGGATCCTCCTGGGAAGATGAGGTCCCACAGGCTTCCCCAGGGGTGGGGGTGCGGCCTCGGGAGGCCCTCCCTGCATCGGGCGCTCACCTGCCCCTCACTGTCTCCGCCAGCCACGGCGTCGCGCTCCATGCTTCTCCAGACCCCGCTTTTGCACAGCCACCGTCTCCAGGCCCCGCCCCGCACCTGCGGCTCTGTGCTCCCCTGCCTGACCGCGCAGTCCTCGCCTCACTCTACCTTTTTGTACCCCGAGACCCCAGGACCCTCCTGATCCGCTGACATTCCCTCTCGAGCCACACATCCTCCAATTTCGCCCCTGCTTCCTGCCGCCTCTTCTCGGGGTCTCTGCGGGACACCCAGCAAGGTTCTGGTCACCTGCACCACCCTCTCTGGGCTTCCTGGCCCCCGCCCGGGGTCTCCCCGCCCCCCTCTCCGCCTCGGGCCCCCAGGTCCAGTCACCACCCCGCTCGTCCCCTGAGCTGTCCACCCGCACTGGTGCTTTTAGGAACTGAGTTCAGCCCAGTTCTGGAAGCCTCCAGCCCTGGACATCGAGTGGCCACCGGAGATGTGACCCCAACTTCCTGGTCTGCGTGTTTCAACCTCCAGCAAAGGGAGGCCGGGGTTGATGGCCTGGAGACATGCCCACAGCAGGAGTGGCCCACGTCTCTCGGTGGGATTGGACTAGTGGAGGCCCCTCCCTCGGGGAAGCTGACATAGCCAGTCCCCTGCCTTCCGTCGTGGAGTGACAGTCTCACGGCACAGCCCTGGCCGCTGCTGGGATCCAGCCGGGCTCTGGGACAGTGTCCAGGCCTCGCCTCGCCCCGCCCTTGACCCCCCCACCTGAGGCCAGCGCCCAGCCTTTGTGCAGCCTCACAGGCAGCTGCCCCCGTTTCTGCGGCTCACGCCACCCGCCAGCCCTCAGTATCACCCCAAGCCACCTTCAGGCCCAGCTCCACCAGCCACTCAGCCCTGCACTCCGAGATCCCCTCAGCGGCTCACCCAGCGCCCCCCAGGCCAGCTTAACTCACCAGCCCTCGCCAGGATGGCCGGCCACCAGCTGGGCTGGACAGCCTGGGATGGCGGTTTGCTCCCAGAGCCCTGGCCCTGGGCAGAGAGTCACGTGCATGCACGTGGGACCCTGTGCCCACTCCACTGCGGCCAGCACAGGCACCTATGTGCTGGAAAACGGGACCCAGGCGCCCTGTCACCTCCCCACACCCACAGACAGTTCTGGGAACTGCAGATCACTCCCACCCAAGGACCAGGCCAAGCCCGTGCTGGGTGGCCGCAGCCTGGCCACAGAGAAAGCAGGCGGTCCCAGGAATCGCCTCATCCCAAACCTTGGGCCCCTCAGGGGGACGCCTCCAGGGGCCAGAGCTCACTCTCCAAGGGCCCCTCACCTCAGCCCTGTGCCGCGCCCCGGGCCCTCATCCAGCCTCTGCTGGCCTGAGCCTCTCCTGGGCTCAAAGCCCTCCACTTGTGCCGGGGGCTGTTCACCCCCACAGCCCGGGGTTAGTCCCAGCACTGCTCTCGGAGGGACTCCCGTCTGTGGCACACTGAACCCGTCTCCTCCCTCCGTCCAGGCCTTCCCCTCTACTAATGTGACGCAGGGTCCCGTTAGCTTTCTGGTGGTCTCCTCTCCCTGTACGCCACCAAAACCTCAGTCCTCCTCACCTCCTAAGCAGGCCAAGCCCAGGAAGGCGTCCAGCTCTGCTGTGCCACCCCATGGGCCCGGACCCAAGGACTCCACGCCCAGGCCAGCAGGTCATGTTATGTGTGGTCTCTCTGGGCCTCCCCGCCTAGGGCTGTGCGTAAAGCCCCCATGGGCGACCCAGGGCCAGACCCCAGCCCTGCCCCCCCGACAGTCTCCCGCCGTGGCCCAGCCCTCAGGGCCCGCCGCTTCCCCCATTCCCACCTCACCTCCACTCACACCACCTCCCTGGCAGGTACGGAGGAGCTGCTGGGTGACTGTCTAAAGAAAGCTGCTCAGGACGGAACACGGGTGTGGGGACCGGCTTAGAGGCAGCGGGGGATGGGCGCCCTTGGGTTGGGGCTCGGGCCGGGTCTGTTAAATGGGGATCCCTCTTCTGACCGGCCGACCCGCGGGCTTGGAGCAGGCGGGCACCCGGGAGGTGGAGCGGGTGGGGCGAGGCTGGGCTGCCCCCACCCCGGCCTGGGACCCTGAGCCCAGCCCAGCTGGGCTGGTGTGACAGCCGAGTAACAGGCCCTGCGGAAGCACCCAGGCCATGTGGCAGGCACTGCCATGGGCCCAGAGCCGTTGGGCATTTCTGAGGCCACAGTGCCCCCTGGCGGCTGTGCAGTCCCCCCAAGGACGGTGCCTCGGGCCTCAGGCCTCTGTCACCCTCTCTGTGGCCCCGCGCTCACCCTGAGCCAGGGCTACTGTCACCCCCTAACACGTGGGGGCCGGAAAGGGTGGCCCGGCCGCTCAGAGGCACACAGTCAGCCGGAAACAGGGCCAGGCCCCCAGGCAGGGCTCCCGGCCACTGCAGTCCACCATGCCCAGGGCTGCGGAAGGCCCCCAAAGAGAATGGCCTGGGAAACAGCCCCAGCATCTCC